CACACACAGACACAGGCAAATGCATGTGCACACTGAGAGGCGCGCACACACAGACACAGCGCACGTGCACACTAACAGGCGCGCACACAGACACAGGCAGACGCACGTGCACACTGACTGGTGCGCGCACACAGACACACGTGCACACAGGTGACTACCACTGCCAGCTTGAGACCCTCCCAAGGGGTTTGAACCAACCAACCCTTGCCCAGGAAGACTCACCCTGTTCTCCACAATAGCAATGCTCTCTCCGCCCAGGATGAGGGCGGTCGATGCCCTGTTAAACTCGGGCTGTCCCAGCACCGATAAATACTCGAGGCAGCGCGTGGGGTCAGTCAGCATCTGCCGCTGAACCTTCCTGACTACGGGCAGTGTCCAGACCTGTCCATCCTCCGCATAGTACTCTGCAAACAACACAGGTACCAGGGAGTCAGTCTCTCGTGTTCACCTGTGGGTGCTCAGGCTTGGGGAAAGGCACACAGTGCTCTCGATTCACAGAGTGGTCACTCAGCCCATCGTTGCAATGGGTGGATGGTAACATCACGCAAGGGTTTCCCCTGCAGGGGGTCAATGAGCCCATTTTCGCTGCACACCCTCTGCACAAACCGAGAACCAGTCTCCTGCCGTTTTCCTCGTCCCCTTCCATACTATTTCCGCCTTCTGAAGGCCTTGGGAAAGCCCACATTGACTGTCGTGCACGATATTTCCAGGCATGGAATGAGGAGGCTGTGCCTCTGCCTGTTAGAGTTCTGGAGAATGAGGGATGATCAGATTGAAATAGCTAATAGCTAGAGGGGCCTTGACTGGATGTGTAAGACCGCAAGAAACTGGAGCAGGAGTTGGCCATTCAGCCCCTCAACCCTGCTCTGCCCTTCAACAGGGTCATGGCTGATCCAACATTCCTCACACCCACTTTGCTGCCCTTTCCACCCACTCTTCCCCCGCCCCGACCTCGATTCCCTGACTGATTGAGAGTCTCTCTATCTCAGTCTTCAATGTCGACAAGCACTCTGCCCACCACCGCCCCCACAGCTCTCTGTAGCAAGGAGTTCGAGAGACTCACAACCCTCCGAGAGAAGAAATTCCTCCTCTCCTCAGTCTTCAATTGGCGTCCCCTCATTCTGAGACTGTGCCCTCTGGTCCTCGACTCTCCCACGAGGGGAAACACCCACTCAGCATTGACCCTGTCAAGCCCCTCTATGTTTCACTGAGACCCCCTTTCGTTGTTCTAAACTCCAGTGAGTGGACTCCCAACCTGTTTCGCCTTTGCTCATAAAACAAACCCTCCGTACCGAGGATCATCCTTGTCCACATCCTGAACTTTCTCCAATGAAATGATATCTTTGATTACACAAGGGGAGGTTGACAGGATATCTCCTGTTGTCGGGGTACAGTAGGACAAGGAGTTAGTGGTGTAATAATCACAGGAAGACAGCGAGGAATAGAAACCTTTCCAAAGAGGGAGGGGAATCTTTGGAGCTGTCCCCCTCACGGTCAGAGCCATGGAGTGCTGTGAAGATAGGATTTTATCCTCTAGGAACTGAGGCAGGGACAGGGAACAGGCAGCACCTCTCGCAGACATTCTGTGTCTTTTGCCCTTGGGACAAGATGCCAAGTCAAGTTAAAAGCCACCCACAATCCTGGTCCAAGAGTGCTACTCAACTGGGGCACGTGGTGTCATCAGCCTGGATTCAAGCTGTCGTGTGCTGTGAAGAACCACCTCCTGATGTTCCCAGCATGGCAGATAAAGGGATTCGGAATGTAACAAAGCAGTCAGTATTGGTCCAACGGGCCGAGGAGTGGCAGACGGAGTTTAATTTAGATCAATGTGAGTTGCTGCATTTTGGAAAGACAAATCAGGACAGGACTTATACACTTAATGGTAACGTCCTGGGGTGTGTTGCTGAACAAAGAGACCTTGGATTGCAGGTTCATCGTTCCTTGAAAATGGAGTCACAGGTAGATAGGGATAGTGAAGAAGGCGTTTAGAATGCCTGCCTTTATTGGTCAGTGCATCGAGTATGGGAGTTGGGAGGTCATGTTGTAGCTGTAGAGGACATTGGTTAGGCCACTTTTGGAGTACCGCTTTCAATTCTCCTCTCCCTGCTGTAGGAATGATGTTGTGAAATTTGAAAGGGTTCAGAAAAGATTTACAAGGATGTTGTCAGGGTTGGTGGGTTGGAGCTATAGGAAGAGGCTGAATAGGCTGGGGCTATTTTCCCTGGAGCATCGGAGGCTGAGGGGTGACCTTATAGGGTGAATAGGCAAAGTCTTGTTCCTAGGGTAGAGGAGTCCAAAACTAGAGGGGCATATGTTCAAGGTGAGAGGGGCAACTTTTTCACACAGAGGTTGGTGCACGTATGGAATGAGCTGCCAGAGGAAGTGGTGGAGGCTTTAAACGTTTAAAAGGCATCTGTATGGGTATATGAAAAGGAAGGATTTAGAGGGCTATGGGCCATATACCGGCAAATGTTGACGAGGTCAGATTGGGATGGTTGGTCAGCATAGATGAGTTGGACTGAAAGGGCTGTTTCTTCAACTCCAAGTTCAGGGGGTAAACAGATGAGACACAGTGTGACTGCAGGGTACAGCAGGTGTGTGAGGGCTGACCGACCGAGTCCTCGGTCAAAAACACAGAGACGTGGACGCTTTGGAGAAAGCCCCTGTTCCCTGAAACACCAGCTGCCTTCTATCCCAGAGGTGGTCAGCAGGAGTGGTCTGTCTGAGCACCCCACAGTGCGTGTGTGTGTCTCAGTGCTCAGGGTCCCGGCCCTCTGCTCAAACCTTACGTCCCTACAACCTTCAACCACATCCGAGTGCATTGCCAGACCTCCCCGAACACTCGCCCATTCCCCCCCTACCCCGCCAGCTTTTCGACTGGTGCACTCCCAGACGATGGGGAGCTGCTCCCAGACTGTGAGCCAAATTTCCAGACAAGCTATGGTCTGGGTGAAGCAGTGAGGACTCTGGCCAGGGGCTGGGGGCTGTGCCTTCCTCCCCAACCCCACCTTCCTCAATAGACTCAAAGACCCGACCTCCACCCCTCAGCTCCTCCAGCTTCCGCCTTCCCCAGGGAAAGTTTGCTACAAACACTCCATCAACACATTGGGAAAAGAAGGGATACACTGAATTTCAGAGATGCTTCCTTCCCCAGAGAGCAGTGAGAGAGGGGAGGTGGTAACCACAGATAGGGAGGGAGGGGAACACGAGTGGGATCATGAAGAAGGGGCAGGAGGGAGGGAGAGACGGTCAGGGTGACAGTGCAGATGTGGTGGAGACAAGGATGTGCTGTGGGGAACAGTGACACGGGTATGGAAAAGACCGGCAGACAGGTGACCTTTTCTGTTGGGAATTCAAGGAGGTTTCTGTAACGGAACAGTTAGAATAAGGGCCAGGCCAAATACACAACAGGAGGGTCAGTGCTGAGGGAGCGCCGCACTGTCACAGGGTTAGTGCTGAGGGAGCGCCGCACTGTCGGAGGCTCAGTGTGGAGGGAGTGCCGCACTGTCGGAGGCTCAGTGTGGAGGGAGTGCCGCACTGTCGGAGGCTCAGT